AGTGTAAGCTATTCCGCTCCACAAAGTTTAAGGTAAGTTTACGAATCTCTCTATGTTTCTGATCATTTTCTCTTATAACTAATCTTCATTTACTAGAAATGGTTTCTATAGTCATTCGATTTAGGAAAAGTTTTCTTGTTTACTCTTGACTTACGGCAGAGGGATGACTCTATTTAGTAAATAGCTAAAGTTTAACATGATAAAAGTTATTACCAATTCTTAAGAAAAAGGCTAATTCCTTAATTATTTCCTATTCCCATTGTATAGAAACGAGTTTTGTGTGAAATCTCTCTATCCCGTAGCTCGCTCTTGCTGGAATTATTTCTTTAATTTTTCAGTCCCGTTTAGGTACCTTCTGCCTATTGTTGTTTAATAAATTGCCACATTGTCTTGTTCCAAATCTTTAAAAAAAAATCCCTAATTTTTCTCAGGTCTGCAATTATGAGCTACCATATTTTGTTCTTTGGTATGGAGTATGCCGAGAATGAGGAGATTGTGGAGTATGGTGCGCTTAAGGTTTCTACTCACTCATTGACTACGATTGAAGAGTACCATTCTTTTATTCAACCAAGTCTTCAAACCATCAATAACTTCAAAGAACGAACGAGACTCACTCGCGAAAATCTCACGAGGGCATATACTTTCTCTACCATACACTTGTCTCTCTTCGAACTTCTCAACGGTTAGTTTTTCTTGTTATCTCTCTATCTCCTTCTTTTTACACTCTTGAGTCTTGATGTAACCCTAAAGTTTTGATTTGTAATTTCTTCGCTAGATCAAATATGGATTGGCTATAACATAGACAGTATCCACTATCCACGTTTGAAGAAAGCATGTGAATATCAAAATCTACTATGTCCTATTCCTAGGCAAACGATAGATACACGTCTCTTGTGGACTCTCGATTTTGAGGAAGGAAAAGACGTGTCGTTGCAATCACTTGGTAACCACTTTGGCATAGAGGAACAAGAACAACACTTGAGCATACCAGATTGTCACCTAAACCTTAAGGTTTTCATCCGTTGTGGAGGTCGTCATATACTGGTAAGCTAAATCTTTAATCAGAAGTCATTTGATTCTTATATTAGCTTTATATGAAAATCACTTTAATTGGTTTTTGTTTGTTTGCAGAACGAATTTATGAAGGAGGGTGTTTAAACTTTCTACATTTACTATAAGAGATTTTAATCTCTTATTATTCTTGACTGTGTGCAACAAGTTCTCAAGTTAGTCACCATTGTAAATGAGCAGGTCGTAAAAAAGAATGTGGCGGAGAGAGAACTCTCAGGGAGCACAAAGGCGATGTGCAACTTTCGCCATATCTATTATCTATTGTTTCAACCTTTTTTTCTTTTTGTTTTTGTTGGGATCATATGATTGTTTCAATCTTATTAGCAAGATTTTCAGTGTTGTTCCTTGTTTGCTTGATCATGGATTTCTGAAACACATCCGTATATTTCAAATGAACACCTAGTCATATTTGATTTGTGCATGCGTG